GACATCCCCTCATCTTAATTATATAATCATCATATCATCATTCACTTACTGTACGTGCAACCTTATTTCCAGGTATTATTGTACACCCCCCTCACTTAATTTATCCATAATCATCACCATTATTCATTTCACTTACTTTTCCTTGACTGTTTTGCCAGCCGCTTCTAAACCAGCCACGGTGTCCTGCATGAGCGTCCCACGAGTCTCCGGCAGCCTCAGGGTCACCACTCCTGCCACAAAACCAGCTGCCCCGAAGAGCACGAGGGGCGCCCAGGACCCGATGGTGCCCTGAGGAAGTGAAAGATGATTTCGTAAACTCCGGGAGATAAAATGACGAAGGGTAGAGCATGATAACAAACAACTACGTCAAAGGTCTTTTCGCTTCGTTGGGTCTCCGGGGCAGAAAAAAGGGAATTGGTCTGAGGATGCCATATAGGGAGAAGTACTTCGGCATGTTCGTGTATTTTTCTTGGTCTACATCCGTTGGTTTATTGACCGTTGTTCAGTTCAGATCCTAAACTCGTCGAGATGGACAAGAGGGAGAGAGTGGAGAAAACAAAGCGATATAAGATGAAAATACTAGTGGGTAGAACTACTCAAACAGACAGAATAATAATAACAGAAAAAATATCCCCAGGCAACAGGTTACTTATCATCGCTTATAACTGCACCCAATCCCTGTGAGTGACTAAAACCTCAACGAGGGAACACTCCACTCCCCGAAGGACCTATCACTCCCCCCCCATCCACTCCCGAAGGACCATGCCACTCCCCGAAGGACCATTCCAAGGACTCCCACTCCCCGAAGGCCCATCCACTCCCCGAAGGACCCATCCACCCATCCACTCCGCGAAGGACCAATCCTCCACCCGAAGGACCCATCCACTCCCGAAGGACCCATCCACTCCACGTCCAAAGGACCATCCACTCTTGTACTCAATCCACCCCCCGAAGGACCCATCCACCTCCCCGAAGGACCCATTCACATCCCCAAAGGACCCATCCACGCATCGCATCATGCCCCCGAAGGATCACTTGCCACTCCCGAAGGGACCGCATCCACTCCCCGAAGGACCCAATCACGGTCCCGAAGGGACGCTCCCATCGCACTGGCCACAAGGGGAGACCATGCGCACTCCTGCAGATGAGTAAACTGATGTCCGAGTCCGCGCGGAAATGGAGACCGCGGCATAGGTGTCGCCAGCGTGGTTATTCCTCCTCGAAGGACCTCATCACGGTCCGGCTCCGAAGGAGGGCGTCGGGGTATCATACTGTTACGGTCCGCCGAAATGGACGCCATCACTCCGCGATAGGACCGCCATGGCCGAACTCGCCCGAAGGACCGCCATGCCACTCCCTCGCTTGGCGGAAGGGGCACGTGGCGTGTCATCCAGCTGCGGTGCACACGAGGGACGCTCATGCGTCAGCTCCCGAGGGACCATCCTCCTCCCCCGGGGGGAACCATTCCACTCCCCGAAGGAGCGGGCATCCACTCCCCCGAAGGACCCATCCACTCCCGCGAAGGACCACGCACTCCCCGAAGGACGCAGTCTCACTGCGTCGAAGGAAGCGCGCCATCCACTTGCCCCGGAAGGACCCATCGCACTTCCCCCGAAGGACCCATCCAACTCAAAAGGACCATCCAGCGTCAACGAAGGACCCATCCACTGCCCAGTCTGAAGGACCATCCACTCCCCGAAGGACCGGCCATCCGCACTCCCCCGAAGGACCCATCGCACTCCCCCGAAGGAACCGCATCCACGTCCAGCTCGAAGGGACGCGCCATCCTCCCCCGAAGGACCATGTTGCCTCTTTGTCGCCCCGAAGGACCCTATCACTCCCCCGAAGGACCCATCCACTCCCCGATAAGGACCCATCACCCACCCGAAGGACCCATGCCAAGTCCGCGAAGGTTATCCATCCACTGCGCCCACGGGGACCCCGCATTAGTTGGTACATCCACGAAGGAGATCCCATCCCACTGCTCCCGAAGGACCATGGTCGCCAACGTGCATCCGACCGAGAGAGATCGGCCATGACACATCCCGAAGGAGCGGCATCCACTTACCCGCGGAAGGGGTGACCCATTCCACTCCGCCGGAAAGGAGCCCATCATCCACTCCGCGAAGGACGCGCATCCACCTCCCCCGAAGGACCATCCACTGCGCCGAAGGCCCCATTCACTCCCCCGAAGGGACCGGCATGCCACCATCCACTCCCCGACAGGACCCATCCATCCCTGGAAGGACCCATGGTCCCCGAAGGACCCATGCCACTGCCGCCGAAGGACCACCACTCCCTCGAAGGGAACTTCATGCCACATCCTGAAGGACCGCATCCACTTCGCGTACGAAGGAACCCTCAGATCCCCGAAGGGAACCCATCCGCATCCACCTCCCCGAAGGACCATGCCACTCCCGAGACCCATCCACTCCCTGCGAAGGACCGCTATCCCTCCCGAAAGGAATCCCATCCACTCCCCGAAGGAACCATCCACTCGCTGAGGACCCATCCACTGCCCGCGAAGGACCCTGATGCCACTCCCGAGAGGAGGAGCCATCCACTGCCGCCGAGAGGACCCATTCACTCCGAAGGCCCCATGCCACTGCCGAAGGGGACGCCATCCACTCCCCGAAGGACCCACTATCCACGTCGCGCCCGAAGGACCAGCATCCACTCAGCCCGAAGGAATCCACTCCCCGACCCATCCTCCCCGAAGGACCATCCACTCACCAAGAGGAGCCCAGAAGACGCGGCGCCGGAAGAGTCGAGACCCGATCTTGGAGCATCATGGGAGGCAGGTTCCCCAACCGCGGAGGTCGGACTTCGGTCGGGAAGAGCTTCCGTGGCTTGGAGGGGAGGGACCTGGGTAGGGCGGCGGCGATGGTGAGTTTCCCGGAGTAAAGCCATGGTTGTCCCAGCAGCAGTCAATCCTGTGCGTGTGGTGTCCCAATTAGGTCAGTAACACTTCATTCTAGCGAGAGGAAAGTCACTTACTTTCTTCAGATATATGCCAGTGAAGATTTTTTAACCACCCTCCAATCCTTCATGGAAATTTTGTCTACACAAGGACTTCCTACACAAATATTCTTTGGGCGCCCAAAATCTCCCCCCAGTCAATTTTCTCTTTTTATTTATTAATTCATTTATCATTTACCCTTTTCTCGAGTATGCCAATGATATCTTAAAACCATCCACCAATCCTTTCAGGTTAAGTCTGTTTACAGAAGGACCACCTCTTACACACATGCTCTTTAGGCGCTCAAATTCATCACACCCCAGTCAAATTTTCCCTCTTTTTATTTACTAATTCATCTATCATTTACCCCGTTTCCTCGAGTACTTTTCCTTTTTTCATCAATTCACAAACTTATCATTTACCTTTTTTCATCGTTTTTCATCAATTACAAACCTTATCATTTATTTTTTCCTCGTTTTTTTCATCAATCACAAACTTATCATTTACCATCAATTACAAACCTTATCATTTACCTCTTTTCTCGTATTTTTCATCAGTCACAAACCTCGGTCTCGTCCTCACTGTCGGTATGACCCAAGCACCAGAAGAACGGCAGCCGTGACGAAGAAGCAAATGGCGTTCGAAGGCCTCCTGCCCATCCTGTCGACCATGGGGATCGTGAGGGTGCTGCCGGGGATCTCCATGGCCCCGCTCAGGGACATGTACACGAAGGGGTCGACGCCGAACTTGTCGCCGCCGAGGGAGAGGCCGTAGTAGACTAAACCGGCGACTACGTGATTCACGTATAAGTATAGGGTTAGCGTCCGTATCCTCCGGGTTCTGTTGATTGTTTGTTTCGGTAGAGATGGGTATGGGGACTGATGATAACATATATACGTACATAAATACATACATAAGTACGTACTAAAATACATATACAGCACACACACACACACACACACACACACACACACACAACACAACATATGTAATTGCACTTTTTGAGATTCTTCACCAGCTGAAAAAAAAAAACCGAAATGGACAATTAATATATATTTCACTCTTACTTGAAAAGAATAATGAGTTCATTGCCAGCATTTCTGAGATGATCTGCAAGAGCCGAGGAACTTGCTCGACCTTGACTCCGCCCATCTTCTTGCTGTATTAAGTTAAACTGTCATCAAACCTGTCTCTATTTCGAGTCAACTATATGCCCTTAAATCCTATATTCACAAACTGTTTTTGAACTACTTTACAAGGTTTTAGATACAAGGAATATTAACATTCACCTGCCCTAATACAAAAGAGGGATACAGCGTAATTCCTTTTGTATTTCCGCCATGACAGTCAACAATCTTTTCGTGTGGTAATGAATGAACGATCTCTGATAAAAATAACCACATCAAGTGACATCTAAGTTGGTTGATATATTGCTATCATTCATTCCATTCCGTAATTTTATTGGCTTGATTCTGAAAATAGCTAAGGAAAATGCTCGAGTTGAAGAGGGGATACGAGCGTACCTCCTTTTGTATTTCCGCCATGATAGTCAGCAGTTCCTCATCGCGCGGTAATTTGACCTTGTTCCACTTCGCAGCCCTTCGGAGGACGCGCAGAGCCTCCTGGTGGCGGCCTTTCACTATCAGCCAACGAGGTGATTCGTCGATAAACCTTCATTCAGCAATAAGGGTGTTTAAGATTCGTTAGTTTTTTTTTTTTTTTTTATTTATGTATTGTTTATCTTTTTCTTTGTTCCCCTTTACTTATTGTCTATTCTTTCTTTCTTGTATCTGTTTATTTACTTATCTACTTATTCATCGATTATTTATTTATCCATTATTCACCCTATTCCCATATTCCTTTCATCAATCTGTCTAAAATCATTCGTTTTATTATCAATCTATCTAAAATCGGTGATTCGTATCGATTCGATCTATTCATTTTTTTATCGTCTACGTATACGAACATACCAATATCAGATACCCCAACAGACCAAATTTTACCAAACGAAATAGTGCAACAGCCGCGCCACACTCGCAGGCTATCCCACTACCACAGCGCGGGCAAGAACAGCAGACTCGGCAGACAGACTGTGAACATGAGCCACCTCCAGTCTCTCAGCAGGTAGCCATAGCCACCCAGGGCGATGACGGACAGAGACCAAGGCAAGAAAAACGAGGATGCCCACGAAGGATCTGTAGCGGGGGACGCAGATCTCCATGGCTGGAAGTGAAGGGAAAACGCTGGGAAATCAAAGGGAAATGTAATTGTTTTGCATCTACTTTATTCGAAGTATCACCTCTCGACTAAAAAAAAAAAAAAAAAAAAAAAAAAAAAAAAAAAAAAAAAAATCCTTTCTGTGGCGGTTCGCAATTCACGAACTTTCTTCCAGGGAATATATTTTGAGAGATGGGTTATTTTGTAGGTGGTTTCAGATCCAGTCTATCCAGATAACATCCGATTAAGGCATAATTAAACCATTTTTACCTCAGAACCAGAGGATTAATCTATCTATTATTTGGAACATACTTTTTAAAAATCGCCTTATAAATTTTGTTAAAAGCTTTGACAAACTCCAACTCCTCTTCATTCTAAATTCCTAATCCTCTTTTTGTACTCTTGCAAGATCTTCTCTTCCATCTTCTGCTCAAACTCCTATCCCTCTTTCTCCTTGTACTTTCTTCTCTTCTCCTCCTCCTACTCCCCCCCCTCCCCTCCTGCTCTCCTCCTCCTCCTCCTGCTCTCTCTCTTCTCCTCTCCTCCTGCCACTCCTGCCTTTCCTCCTCCTCCTCCTGCCTCTCCTCCTCCTCCTCTGCCACTCCTCCTCTCCTGTACTCCTGCCTCCTCCTCCTGCCTCCGCTGCTCTCCTCCTCCTCCTCCTGCCCACTCCCTCTCCTCCTCCTCCTCCTCCTGCCCTGCCTCTTCCTCCTCTCCTCCTCCTCCTGCCTACTCCCCCTCCTCCTCCTCCTCCTGCCTTTCCTCCTCCCCCCTCCCTCCTCCTCCTGCCACTCCACCTCCTCCTCCTCTCCTCCACTTTCCCTCCTCCTGCCCCTCCTCCTCCTCCCTCCTCCTCCTCCCCTCCTCCTCCTCACCTCTTCTGCTCCCCTCCTCCTACTGTCCCTCCTGCCTTCCTCCTCCTCCTCTCCTGCTCCCTCCCTCCTCCTAACCCTCCCCTCTTCCCCCTCCCCTTCCTGCCCCCCACTCCTCCCCTTCCTGCCCCCCCTCCCCACCTCCTCCCTTCCTGCCCCCCTCCCCACCTCCTCCCACCCCCCCCCTCCTTCTCCCCCCCACCTCCCTTTACAGCAAAACCCAAACGAAACTCGCAACCCCCACAAACCTAGACTGAAAGCAGAATGTATGGACGTCGGATGCATCAGCCCCAAGCAGAACCGGGCCAGCAGGATAACCGAGATGTTGTGAAGCCAGGAGACCGCGTTGGCCAAGACCGAGTAGGTGAGAGTCCCTACCACGAGCATCGTCTTCCTCCCGTATCTGTGAGGGCGAGCGCGTGGGAGTGTTAGGTCGTGGTGTGAGGGCGTGGAGTGTTAGGTCGAGGGTGGTGAGGGCGTGGGAGTGTAGGTCGAGGTGGTGAGGGCGTGGAGTGTTAGGTCGAGGGTGGTGAGGGCGTGGGAGTGTTAGGTCGAGGGTGGTGAGCGCGTGGGAGTGTTAGGTCGAGGGTGGTGAGCGCGTGGAGTGTCAGGTCGAGGGTGGTGAGCGCGTGGGAGTGTTAGGTCGAGGGTGGTGAGTGCGTGGGAGTGTTAGGTCGAGGTGGTGAGGGCGTGGAGTGTTAGGTCGAGGGTGGGTGAGTGCGTGGGAGTGTTAGGTCGAGGTGGTGAGTGCGTGGGAGTGTAGGTCGAGGGTGGTGAGTGCGTGGGGTGTTAGGTCGAGGGTGGTGAGTGCGTGGGAGTGTCAGGTCGAGGGTGGTGAGTGCGTGAGAGTATTAGGTCGAGGTCGTGAGTGCGTGAGAGTATTAGGTCGAAGGTCGTGAGTGCGTGAGAGTGGTCGGGTCGTGAGTGCGTGAGAGTATTAGGTCGCGGAGTGCGTGAGAGTATTAGAAGAATGCGTGAGAGTATTAGGTCAAAGGTCTTGAGTGTGTAAGAGAATTAAGTCGAGGGTCGTATCTCTCATTTGCAGATGGGAATTGTTAAAAATGAAAAGAAAAAGGAGAGAAAACATATGTGATATAAAGTGGATAGATATATAAATGAGAAGGAATATCTTCCCCTTGTCAGTGACGAATCTGACGGGGTTTCTATTACAAATTCCTCTGAAATACTGTACGTGATATACATCCTTTTCACAATCAACATCATCCACTTGAAATAAACTTAAACAGATACTATTCCCACATTTTGTTCCCCTATAAAGCTAACTTAACTCAACCACAACATGCATGACACAAACTTGAGGCTTAATAACTTGGTTTTGTATTATTCAATCAACATTCTGGGGACATTAAATTGATGCTGAAGTCTACTTTTCCTTAGATTTTTGGGGACATATTTCCCATACACGCCTGTCCACTAATCATGGTATACCCT